ATAGATAGATAGATAGATAGATAGATAGATAGATAGATAGATAGATAGATAGATAGATAGATAGACAGACAGACAGACAGACAGACAGATAGATAGATAGATAGATTATATATATAGTTTTGCTTAGGTTTTAAAATAAAGAAATTGACAATTCGAATGATTAATTTTAATTAATTGGTGATTGGCTGTTATGTGGAGTGCTTAGAGCTTAAGTAAAGAGTCTAAGTAATTTCATGTCATGCATACATGGGTGAGGTATTCGCAAACTTATTACGCGCAAGGTTATTAGAATTGCAAAGGCTTCCTTAATAGTATAAATAAAAAATTATATTAAATTCAGTTTGGCGATTAATTTTTGCAATTTCACTACAATACATTACTTAATTGATAAAGAAATATCTCTTTTAATAAATGCTATACTTTGTAATTTATTTTAAATGTATTTTAAAAAATTAAAAAATATTATTTTAATTAGTTACCTACCCTGTACAAAGACCAAATGACGCAGTCTTTGTTAACTTTTTGACAAACAATTGTTTATATAAGAAAATCAGCATCTGGACAAATCTAACGATCCTAAGGGTTTTTTTTCCGACGGGAATAATTTTTTTGGTTACTTTTCATTTCGGTCCACGACCTCACAAAATTTAGGGGGGTAGTTCGGGACACGGGGCAGGTGAAGTAGAGTGGATGACCTCGAAACACAGTTATTCAAGAATAGCGGGTAGTTTAGTTACTATTAAAATTTAAAAACACTGTCATCACACTTCACAAAATTGCTGACCCCCCTACGATTGTGACGTCATTTATAGACTACCCTAGACTTTCAAAATGTGTAGGCCCAACCATAAACAACGACTATACCACTTCAGCTCTATGAAGAGCAGACTAGTTTAGTAACGTTTAGTGCTTTACTTCCTCTCACAACATACGGCCCTTCGTCTTATCTGCAATATTGTCTATGCAGACACTTACTATTGTACTTAACAAAGGACTAACAATGGCTTATGTTAAAAAGGGAAAATAATTGACAATGCTGCAGGTTACCTTTTTAGCTTTGTTGTATGCTTTAAAAAAAAAGGCTAACCTCGCGTGTTTAGCTTGTGACATTCAGTTGTTTTGGTTCGTTTGTGAACCGAAACTTAATTTAACACGCTAGGCCTACTTTGTACCTTAGTTGATCATATATACATTATTATATAGGCCATATATATTTTATTTATATATATATATATATATATATATATATATATATATATATATATATATATATATATATATATATATATATATATATATATATATATATATATATATATATATATATATATTACTCCACAGTGTAGTTAACACTAGCTATTGGTATTATTTTATCGTCACAGGTAAAAAAAATGTGTGTACATAACTCTTCACTGAGCAGTGTATTTTATCAAACGTATCTAATCTAGGTCAGGTTAGCGTGGGTCTTTAAAAGCCGACTACCTGTTCGCTTCGCGAAGGCCTACAATTTCAGGGTGTGAACAGATCCTTAAACTAAAAAGTTAAACTATATGAAGGTAGGAAAGCAAAATTGTAAAGGAAAATCATAAGAAAAATGGAGAAAATGAGAGAAAAATAAGTTTCGGTTAGATGTTCAGACTATTAAGGGTGCGATGTATTACAGTGTAGTTTGCCTTGAAGTATACTGTTTAGATTTGATTGGATTAGGTATCTTATTATCTAGAATTCTATGTGATACGGAAATAAAGTATCAAAATGAAATGCAGTATGACATTTAGATTTAATGGGAAAGTACAAATTTTAAAATAAAATAAGCATTTCGTTTAAAAAATCAATCATGGGCATCGTTTTGAAAGATTTTAAACTAGACGCTCACCAAGTATTTTTTTGTAAAGTTTAATCTCTCTCTCTCTCTCTCTCTCTCTCTCTCTCTATTACAAGCGTCACATCAATTCTTTTGTTATGGATGAGTGGGTGTGTAGCTACACAGAGGTAAAAGTAACAACTAGACTAGGTGCGGTAGGCCTATCGCCTAGTACAATTTGTGAATGAGGTCATGATGACTAACCTAAGGCGACATTCTACACCCTTTTGCAGAACTTCGGTTGGGTTTGTGATCTGTACTTTATGGGTAGGGCTTTAGTATTTTTTTTAATACTTTGAAAGACTATTATATAAATGGGGGAGAGAAACAACATGTTTTTTATATTTTTTAAAATCAACTTAGATAAAACATTCCATATAGTAGATCTATATCTAAATCTATATAAATAAGAGTGTAGCACTCTTCAAAAAATACTAGATCTAGCTGTAGGATGGGAAAGAGTTTAATCAGCGTTAAAGATATTATCCTCAAGTCCTAAACCATTTACTCCGAGACCGAAAGTGATAACAAGAAAATGACCTTACCCGCATGTACACCCTACACACATACATATTATATATAAGTATATAGATAGGTCTACATATATATATATATATATATATATATATATATATATATATATATATATATATATATATATATATATATATATATATTATATATAGGCCCATATCTATATATACAATTATACATAGGCATATATATATAGAGAGAGAGGGATTTATATAGGTAGGCATATATATATATAGATATAGGACCTATAGAGGCCTGCGTAAAATTATAAAATTTTAGATCTTAGGCCTATTAGAAATTGATTAGAATAAGCCTAAATGATTAAGTAAAAAAATAATTTCATAAAAACAAACTTTTTTAGAATTAGATGTAGATCTATGCCTAGGTTCTAAATATAGATCTAGATCTTATTGGATTTTAAATCAAGAATATTCTAAATCTAGTTATTCTAGTCAACAGTCTAGGTCTAGATCAGTAGTGAGGAGTCACAGAAGAGGCTTTACGAATTCGACTAATCTAGATTTGATATCTATCTAGATCTATATTTAAATTATAGTAAAAACACATTCTAGAAATATAGATCTCGTCTCTTATCTTCTTCTTCGGTCTTAATTTTAGTGTTCAAAGGGATCCCTCCAGCACAATTAAGTATATGTGAACTGATTATGCGCCATTAAGGCCATTGACTCAGATTTCTGCCTGCTTTTCTTTTTGGATTTGCTTCCATAGCCTTTGTTCAGCCAAGAACAAACTACAAGGCAGCAGTTGTTTGGAGAGAAGAGTGGCTGTCCCCAGCTAACAGGCCTCATCTGCACAAGTGTTCGAACTCATGACTTTTCGGTTTAGCAACCATGAGCTTTACCGACTCCACCACGTCGACCGAATAGATATTGTCTCATATATATAAATTTGGACAGGATGTATATCTAGATCTAGAATTCAAGATAATCTAGGCATAATCTGTGCAGTAAAGAATAAGATAATATCATAATAGACAATAGACCATTGGCCTAATTCTATCAGGACAGGACGTAGAGATATCTAGATCTGGATATAACTAATTATTAATTATATATATAATTATCGAATAATAGCAATATGGTATAGATCTACTGGTATAGAATCTAGCTAGTCTAGATTTATATTTAAATCTAGATCTAGATTTCTAAATCTAGACCTAATATATGCAGTAAAGAATATGATGTGACTAGTATTGGGCAACATTTCAATAAACTGAACTACTGAACCATACCCAAATAATCTGTAGGCCTAAGCATATAGATTATTATAGATCTAGATCTACTCTAGATCTAAATAAACTTTAAACTAGCCTTAGCCACCCTAAGCCCTACAACAAGTACACAGCGATAGTGTGGGCTGTGGGAAAACAATGAAATAATACAATTACAAACTCACTATTTCTAGATCTAGATACCTAGAATCTAGACTCTACTAGATCTATCTAGAAATCTAGTCTTTAGACATCTAGATCTAGATTCTAGATTAGATCTGTAGGCCGTAGTAGGCTATGTCATGATTAGAATGTAGGGTAATCTATCGTTTTAAGTACGTAAAATCGCCCGCGGCTAGTAATGTTAGTAATGTACCAAAAAGTTACCTCATTGACAAGGCTTTAATAGAAGTATATAATATTGTGATATATTTGTGTCAAATATTATAGGAAAATGAATAATAAACCTAAATCAATGGCTAAATATTTTAATATGTATAGGCAAGAAATTAAGAGAGAATGTTCACACCGGTGTCTGATAATGGAATCTTCTTTAAAAAAGGAGTGTTAGGTTACTGGAAGTTAACTAAATACACACATGGCTGGCTAATGTCAATGCTAACCCTGTCCCTAACCCTAACCCCAACCCTGGTCCAACCATACGCCTAACCCTAATTTCTAATCATAAAATTAGTTGAGATTACAATACTACTAACAACCCAACACCCCTTTTTTAAAGAAGATTCCATTATTGGACACTGGTATCTATAATCATCCGAAATGAACTTTAAACAGCAGTGTTTGCGAGCAGGATTTGCTATTTAAAAAGCGGCCATCTGTAAGTTAAAGTGGCTTCCCCTGAATCTTGTGCTATACTATAAGTTTACAATATTTAAAAAAATAAAACAAGATGGCTGCTATAGTAAATGGGCATGGTTGCATCTGTTGGAAAAATCGCTAGACTATTTATTACTGAAAAGTTTTAATTCAGTTGTTTAAAACAAGGTACATAAATGAAACAAGGAAACATTTTTGTATTTTTCAAAACATTAATCCTTCTCAAAAGTTGAAATAGATTCTAGAATCTAGATCTAGATCTAGAATCTAATTATTAGGCCTAATTATTAAAATTTAAGGAGTCACCTGTTTTTCACATTACTAGATTCGTCTAGATCTAGATTATCTAGACTAGATTCTAGATAGTCGCGGGCGATTTTAAGTAGATCTACCTAAAACGATAGATTACCGAATCTATGCTTAGTAGGCCTATATAATATAGGCCCTAATATATTATAATGTACATTACGCCTAGGTCTAGTCTAGATCTAGACAATTTATAATTAGACTAGATCTAGATCTAGAACTACTTACCCGTCGATCATCCAAATTGTATTCAGCAGACATTTTTGATTTCGAACCCGGCGATGATGGCTCACTTTTGTCATCCATTTTTTATTACGTTTCAGGCCTAGGTCCACTGGTCTAGAAATCTAGATCTAAATTAATGTAAATCTAGCTGGAAATCTAGATTCTAGATCTAGATAGATTTAGATGACTAGATCTAATCTAATTCTAGAATGTCTAGATATCTAGATCTAGATTAGATACAGATAGATCTAGAGTCTAGAGATTTAGATCTAAATCTAGAGTCTAGATCTAGCTAGCTAGACTTTTTTTTTTTTATTATTTTAATTTTCACTAGATTCTAGATCTAGATCTAGATCTAGATCTACAAATCAAGATCTACCCTGCAATTATTCTTCTGTCTGTTTTAAGTCTAAAGGAAGCCTTTGCTAATCCAGTGTCTATGAAAAAATATCGTAAACAGAATATTTTTGTCAACATGAGCATACTAGAAAATAAGCCTAGATCTAGCTTGCTCGACAACTTGTCGCTAAAGTATGGCCAATCGGCGTTCAAAACAACGTTGCGGGCCAAGTCATCTGTCCCGAAAAGGATAAAAATAGGCTAGCCCTAGCCAGGCTTGTTTGTGAGGGGACAGCTGAGGTTAAATTGCGGGGAGGATTCTGGGATGTTTTCAAATTTTAACCTGCGGAAGAGTGACACACTATGCTACTGACTAACAGGATTCAAAAATTGTCTCCGCAGAATCAAAAGTAGAAAACAAATGAAGACGAGAGTTAAGCACTGACTCAGTAATTTTTACTTTCTCGTGTACGAAGTATAGAGGAAGTATTATAATCGTGTCGGAAAAACGTAGTTTTGCAATTTGGTCTAAATGTATGTGTGTGGATCAGTGGCGGAACTAGAAAAAAAAGGGCCACCCCGCAAAAAATTTTTTTAGCCCCCCCCCCCATATTTTATATATATATATATATATATATATATATATATATATATATATATATATATATATATATATATATATATATATATATATATATATATACAAGAAAACTTTGTATAAGTAATGGTGTCTCGTGTTATGTTTATTTTTATGGGTTTTTTTTGTATTTATATTATTAATTTTAAAGACATTTCCTTTTTGTACAATGTCATTCTTTGGTAAATATTTTATTAAAAAAATAATTAGAGAAGTAATTGCTTTTTAATTTGTTTAGTACAAATCTATTAAAAGGAGCTCATGAGCACCTCTATTTGACTATTTTAAAAGGGAAATAAGTCATCGAAGTGGTTTGAACGTTTGCTTATCTTTGATAAATTTGATTGTAGGAGAAAGAGGACTCGGCTTTCACAGCAGTTTAAAAACAAAGGGAAAAAGAATATGCAAAAGCGTGGGGTGGTGTCTATAGAATAAAGATAATCCAACCGCAGCTACGGTAATCTTTTTACAAAACAACCATAAAGTCAAAAATGCAAGAAAATTAATTATTTTTTAACTATAAAATTTGTTATTATGGTCGACTGCGGGCCCCTAGGCTAAATGGCGTGCCCCCCTCCCCCCCCCCCCCCCCCGCATTGCGGGGTCTGGCGGTACTGTAGTTCCGCCCCTGGTGTGGATATATGTGTCTGTGAACACGATAACTTGAGTACCGTTACAGATAGGACCTAGGTTGATGAAATTTCATATCCGAGCTGACCCGCTACGTAGCATACGCCGCTATTTAGTTGTTTTACTTTATATTTTTCAGTCATTCATAATTTGTGAATTCGAATTACCAATGCTGCGCCTGAAAATATTTTGCTTTAAAACACTATCAGTAGCTCGTGAAGGACGATTATCGTCACCCTCACTTTCTAACCCAACCCCCACTCGAAAAAGCAGCCGTCCGTGATGACAGTTTTCGGACAATGAAAAGGTCAAGAAGAACTTGTTATTACCTCCCATTAGTTTCAAATCGTTTAAAAACTAAATTATCTGCCCCTAATAGCCGTCACTAATTCGACCCGGCTCTACGATTGTAAACATTTAGTGTTAACCATTGCTCACCAGACTGGTGGGGGTGGTAGCTATATCCCTAGAGAGCGAGGGAGTAACCATGTGCGTTTACGTGGTGTCTCGCATGGTCACCATAAAGAGAATTATATATAGTATATTGATCATCATTTAATCACATTTATAGTTATACTAGGCATACTACCTAGCTTTGCTTAGATTTTCAAAAAACATTTGAGAGTTTGAATGCTTAATTAGTTAGTAGTGATTGGATTATATGGAGAGCTTAAGATTAAACAGTAATAGTAATTTTAGAGAATTGCTGGAATGTTCGCAATTTATTACTTGAAAAGTAATTAGAACTACGAAGGTTTCCTGAATAGTATAACTCAGAAGCTATATTATATTGACTTTTAAAATTAACTGCAATAATTTAATTAGGATACTTAATTTAATACTTAACACAAAATATACTCAAATGAATGCTATACTTCGTCATTTTCTGTTTGTGTTTTAAAAAGTATAAAATTATTTGAAATATATTTATTTTAAAAAGTTACCTCCCGTGTAAATTGACCGAATGACGTAATCTATGTTTACTTTATTTTCACTAACAGTTACTATGCTTGTAATATATTGAGAATTGTGAAGTCAAGGGAACTCACTCTTCTTGTATTAGTCTTATATTTATAATGTGGTTTTGAGTGATGTCCCTTGTTTTATGTAATTGTTACTTCCTGTTTCCGCCATGTTAGTCATGATGGCTGATTAAAGATCAATATACAAACAGCATGGTTTCTGTCGTCAGTGTTTCAATCTACCTCAATTGGCGACGAGGATAAATCATCCACAGAAAAAGAGCACATGCTTACTTAAAAAGAAGCTTGCTAGAGCATATTGGCTAAGTATTTCTAGGATAATGGCGCTGTATGGCCAAATAAAAGAATTTGATTCGAATGATGAAACCATTCATGATTATCTAGATAGGTTAATCTTTTACCTTGAAGCTAACGACGTGACGATAGAAGGAAAAAAGAGAGCTGTTTTGTTAACAGTCATAGGGCCTCAACAATTTAGGCTATTAAAGGACTTATGCGCACCAGCTAGTCTAACTACCCAGAGCTTTAACGAGCTGAGCAAACTGCTAACAGACCACCATGCGCCCGTACCATCAAAGTTCCTGTGTAGAGCCAGATTTGACGGTAGGACTCGTCAACCAAACGAATCAATATCAAAATATGTTGCTGCGTTACGTCATCTAAGTGAATTTTGTGAATTCGGGGACACGCTGTCTGACAGACTATGTGAAAAGTTTGTGACAGGTGTAAACAGCCCTGATGTTCAAAGAAATTTGCTTCTCGAGTCAGATCTCACATTGGAAAAAGCAATACAACTAGCAACTTCATTCCAGCAGTCATCCGAGGCGGCAAGATCTCTAACGCCCTCAGGGAGCCATGCAGTAAACAGCAGGTTAGTCAACAAACACCAACCCCATCAGAGCATTTCAACTTATGCTAAACAGCCTGCACGTTCAAATCCTAGATCTAAAGCTAGTAATAATTATCAAAAATGTCATCGATGCAACGGTCCCCATGCATCTCATAGATGCAAGTTCAAGTCAGCAACTTGCTATAAGTGCAGTAAGCAAGGTCACATTGCCAAGGCCTGCTTTGCAAAGTCTTCGTCTGTTGCTAAATCTAGCCAGTCAGGACAGTACCGCAACCAAATGCAGTACTATGTTAACTCTCACCAAGACAACCTAACCCAACCAATGAACCACTCTACCAGTGAAAATGCTCAAACTAATTCGCAGCCGGAGTTCAACCTGTTCTCTGTGAAATCAAAAAGTCATGCTCCCATCAACGTACCAGTTTATATCAACGGTAAGAGCATCATCTTCCAACTTGACACTGGAGCATCTCTAACCGTCATCACAAAGGACTTTGACGCTGTCACATGAGGATCAGTGCCTCTACAACCATGTCACAAGTGCCTAACAACATACACAGGTGACAATGTTCCGGTAATAGGAGAGTGTATGGTTCATGTAAGCTATTATGGTCAAAGTGTTAAACTTCCTCTTCTTGTGGTTGAAGGAAATGGACCACCTTTACTAGGTAGGAACTGGTTAGTTGATCTTAAGGTAAACTGGGAGAGTATATTTTCAGTGAACAAAGCAAGAGAATCTAGTTTTACTTCAATAGATAAAGTTATATCTGAAAATGAAGGTGTCTTTGGTAGTTCAGGATTACTAAATGATAGAACAGTGAAGATAAGCATTAAAGACACAAATCCAAGATACTGCAAAGCTAGAGTTCCACCTTATGCAATGAGGGATAAAATTGAAAATGAACTAAGTAGATTGGAATCTAATGGCATCATAAAGAAGGTAGACTATTCCGATTGGGCAACGCCCATTGTGCCAGTGTTAAAGAAGGATGGTTCTGTAAGAATTTGTGGAGACTATAAAGCTACACTGAATAAGCAAATAGAGCTAAATAGGTACCCTATTCCTAACATTGAAGAAATTTCTTTGAATGTGGCAGGATGAGACAAATTCACTGAATTAGACTTTAGTCATGCTTACACTCAACTAGAACTGCATCCAGATTCAAAAGTCTATACGACAATAAACACACATAAAGGACTCTACCAATATGAAAGACTATGTTTTGGCATATCATCTAGCCCTGGAATATTTCCAAGCTGTCATGGACAGTATTTTTAAGGATATTCCAAATGTTTTTATTTACTTTGACAATGTGTACATAACTGGTAAGAATGACACTGAACATCTTAAAACACTTGATAAAGTCTTGAAAATAATTGGTGAAAAAGGTTTAAAGATAAACAAAGATAAATGTCAATTCATGCTGACAGATATTAGTTTTCTTGGTTATATTTTAAGCAAGCAGGGTCTCAGATCTCAACCTGAGAAAACAAAAGCCATTAAAGAAGCACCCAAACCTGAAAATACCCAACAGCTAAGAGCTTTTTTGGGCTTGATAAATTACTATGCGAAGTTCATAGGGAATCTGTCTGGTAAATTATCACCACTGTACAAGCTGCTGCAGAAAAATGCAACTTTGCACTGGGGTATACAACAAGATGCTGCTTTTAATGCAGCAAAAGAAGCTTTGTCTTCTGACACCTTACTAACTCACTATGACCCAGGGAAAAGACTTATCTTAACATGTGATGCTTCACCAGATGGTGTAGGAGCAGTTTTATCACACATAGATGAAAATGGTGACAGACCCATTGCTTTTGCCAGTAGATCTTTGAACCAGGCTGAGAAAAATTATTCTCAGTTAGATAGGGAAGGCTTAGGCATCAGTTTTGGTGTTAAGAAATTTCACAAGTTTCTGTTTGGTAGGGAGTTCACCATCTTTACAGATCATAAGCCATTGCTGGGTTTATTTGGGGAAAACAAACCCCTGCCTGAGCATGCCTCACCAAGGATTCAAAGATGGGCTATCACACTAACTGCATACAATTATGAATTGAAATACAAACCTGGATCTGAGAATAGTGCAGATAGTCTTAGTCGTTTACCTTTAAAAAACCAAAGCCTTAGTTATGTACCAGAAGATGTATTTGTTCTTTTCACTATCATGGATAACTCCAAT